ACTTTGAAAGATGTTCGCAGACCAGACACATAGGCTGGAGGTTAAGAGATGCAAAGAATGGTGTACACATGTGGCTTGCACTCTTCCCCACAGAGGGAAGATGGGAAATTCATGGCACCCCATTCTGTAGATTCCAGGCAGATCAGGGAGACAGGCAGCAGGAAATCAGAACTGTCCAATCCAAAAAGACTAGTTTCAAGGTTGAGGCGTATGTGTGTGTGTGTGTGCGTGCGTGTGTGTGTGCATGTGTGTGTGTGTGTGTGTGTGTGTGTGTGTGTGTATTGTGATTGGTCCAGGCATGCAGGGCCATCATTGCTGGATTATGGAGGAAGCTTCTGCATTCCAGTGCTGGTCTGTGCAGTTACTGCAAACTCTACTCAAGACACCACGTCAGCAACTGACATGGGTACATTGTACATTCAAGCTTATCCAAGCACTGTTTCTAGGACCAGCAGTTGGCATATCAACTGTATTTCAAGCACTCTTATGATGTCTTTTGATACCATGGAACACACTTAAATCCCAGATATTCTCCACCAGTACGTTCCCCATGCCAATACAATTCACTCTTTAGATAGGACACAGAGAGTATGTCCGACTACTGGCCACGTGGCTTTTTAGTTTCCTCCTTTTGTTCCGTATTACATAAAGGGTTCCAGAGGTCCATGATTACCATTTAGTCATTCCCTAGCACACCACCCAAACTCTTTTTTTTTTTTTTTCCCGAGACAGGGTTTCTCTGTATTGCTTTGGAGGCTGTCCTGGAACTCGCTCGGTAGACCAGGCTGGTCTCAAACTCATAGAGCTCTGCCTGCCTCTGCCTCCCAAGTGCTGGGATTAAAGGCGTGCGCCACCACTGCCCGGCCTCACCCAAACTCCTGAGTTTTCCCAGCCATCTCTTCTGCCATCGGCCGTTTCTATAGCATAACCGTTTGCTGTGGCCCTCCATCTGTGTCTTTTCCCAAGACATCAGACAGCTCTGCTGGCCTGCTGCACCACGGTTCCCAGACTCACAGACCCCTTCAGTAGGAGTGGACTCCTCTTGCGGCAATCCCTGGGGACTCCTCTGTACTGACTGAGTTAGACACAGTGGGCATGGGTAGAAGACAAGGTTTGGATGTTTCTTGCAAACGTTAAACATTTCTAAAGTTCACTGTGGGTTGCGGGAGACTAGGCGGCTTAAAGACCCATCACTTTGAACCGTGTGCTGAAGAGTCTCCTGGTTAATTATAGACACGGGACACCCAGCATCGCCAAGTCACCATCGTGTGCTCCGCTGGTCTGACGAGGACATGGCCCATGCCTGGGCTGTCCTTCATAGGTCAGCTCAGCACGGCATGGTGTAAGCTCCGCCTTCTACCCCTCCCCCCCTCCTTCATCTCCCACCTGACCTGAGAGACACAGCCTGTAGGCTGCATCCCAGAGGAGGCTCAGGAAGGAGCGAATGAACTGCAGCTTCCCAGGAAAATGTCCCCAGTGAAGTACTCCTCGCAGAGCCCCTGCAGTAGTTGACCTGCCAAGGCCATCTGAAGGGATCGAGCAGGATATCCCCCCCCCCCCCCAAGGGTCTTTCTGAGCCGATGGTTTCAGGCTGGGTTGGTGTGTGCGCTCATATTCTATAGATATGTGTCTGGGTTCATCTTGAATCTCACCACGTGTCAAAGAGGCCCCAAGGGGAAGGTGTTGGGACTGTCCGCATCCTGTAAGACAGGAGATTCCCAGGGAGATCTTACTGGAGGCGGGGTGTGTTTAGCCATATTTGACTTTAATTGTTAGGATAAAGCTCGGGGTGGTACTTGGCAGGTTCCGTGGTGGTGGGCCAGGTTGATCCAGGCGAGGGGGCGGGGGGGGGGGACGGGGACGGGGGTTACAAACACGCCAGGCAGACAGAGCTTAGGTGAGAAGTTTTATTAGAAAGGGAGGAGGGAAGGAAAGAGAAAAGAGGTAAAGAGACACAGAGACACAGAGGGAGGACAGAAGAGAAGAGGGAGACAGGAAAAGTCCTGCCTGCCCCAGGGGAACAGCAGGAAAGAGAGAGGGATAAGAGCGTAAGTGGGCGAGGTCTGTCTTTTAAAGGGGTCCTTAGCACCTGGGCTGACCAGGGTACTGCCTGAGTGCATTCGGCCAGGTGACCGGGGGCAGGGGAGGGGGGGGGAGCAGACCAGCATAATGCCTGAGTCCTTACATTAATGCCTCACCTTGTTCTTTCTAGCTGGCTGCCTCCCGTTCACATTTAAAGGTGGGAGCAAAGGCCCCGCTCTGCTGGCACTGCGAAACCGCACAGATACTCGGGGGCAGATGAGCAATGACTCCGCAGAAGGAGCCGCAGACTCCTGCAATGCAACAGGTACGGATGGGCCCGTGGTGACACCAACCTCCTTAGGACCACACTGCGATCCCTTCCCTGTGTTCTCTGTCATGATGAGCTGAAACCTCACGAGCAAAGTGCCCAGGAAAATCACCCACAGCTTCTTGGAGGGACATTGCGACGGTGTGATGTCAGAAAGGGACCAGGAATAGAGAAAGTGGCCTCACCCAGACTTCTGAATTGCTTTCCGTGATTTCTTATGTTCTGAAGTTGGAACAGTCAGCTTCTTGACAAATGCCATCAAGTTAGTAAGTTAGCCTGACAGTGGAGGCCATCCTTGCCCACCAATAGAAACAGAGTAGCGTGAAGATGATATCCACTATTTACATCTGATGGCTTTATTGCTAAACCAAGTATCGACCCCCCCAAAAAATGCTCTTAATTAAATTAATCTTTTTGTAAAACCAGGCTATCAGAACCTTAAAAGTAAGTTTCCCAAATGCAGAATGGGTATCTCTTTGTGTCATTAGGTAGAGAACAAGGGGACCCTCTTTTGCGTATGAGGGATGCAAACTCATATATACTCACGCCATACAGGGCACTGACGATTGAACAAAGACAAGAGCCCACCCAAGTCGAGCTGGGTGAACCAGTGAGTTACTGATGTCACGTAACAGAAGCACGGTGACTCAAGGGCAGCTACCCCAATTCAAAGCCCACTCCAGCATAGGCTTATGACCCCAAACAGCGGCATCCCTCAAGCCCCCTGCCAGACAGAGGGTCTTCTCTCTCCAACTGCTTTGAGGAATTATGTCGCGTGAGGTCTTCTAAGCGTCTAAGTTTGCTCTGCCGGGAGGGGACGCTTGAACTTAGAGGAAATATCAACAGCGACTCAGAACCAGCTTCAGAAGTGTGTGTGTGTGTGTGTGTGTGTGTGTGTGTGTGTGTGTGTGTGTGAGATTAGGAACCACCTCTGCCCTCTCAAGCTCTCTTTTCAGCGTGTCTATGGAAACCAGGTCTTTGGCACGTGGCCACAAAGGTCTCTGTTTAGCTGAGTGTGCCCCGCTGCTGCCTCCTTGTAAATAATGTTTTAGCGCCTTTCCCTTATGGATTACTCCTAACGGGTGTGTGGGGGGGGGTTGACAAGAGACAACCCTTGCCTCTGGCATTGCTTTCCACCTGGGGCCTGAGACACCCAGGGAGAGAACAGGTGCTGTATTCCAGAGACTGAGCAGTGCCCTGAAGAAAGTCAGGTTCATGAGAGAGGGGTTCAGCGGCCAGTGCAGGAGAGCTACAGGCGAGAGCGGCCCCAGACCTCTGGCAGAGCACAACCCTGGGCAGAGATGTAGGGGAAGAGCATCGTGGCGGCCACGTGTCAAGACCGGACGGACGCCATTCTGTCTTAGCCAGTTCGGAGGAGGGCAGGTGGCCAGGCCTTCCAAGGTGGGTAAACATGGAGTGGAGACTGCAGGGCCATGGGTGTAGAGAGGAGCAAGACTCTGCAGTCCTCGGAGGACGCAGGAGTTGGGGAGATGTGCAGGCGAGAAGCCAGAGCAGGCAGCGAGGCAGTGTAAGCCTGCTGTAGGATAGACGTCAAGCAAGTACGATGCCCACGTACCCAAGAAGACGACCTTTGGCAGCTCGGAGAGTGGCCAGGCTGCGAAATCCTGGTGTCAGGTGACTCCGCAGAAAGGACAGAGAAGAGAGGAAGGGTGCTTCCTGGGTAGGCTCTGCCTTGGGGCTTCTGCCCGGGACTACAGTGAGGACGCTTGGGGAAGAGGCTGGCGTGAGAGTGGAGACAGTAATGACTGTGCTTTAGGTGTGTTGCAACTGAGGGGTCTTTCAGATGCCCATCCAAGCAATGCTGAGCAGACAGACGGACGCTGTCCCCTCTCCTTGGCTGCCTAGGGGCTCCCAGAAAAACCACATTGAAGGTTTTCTTGTTGTTGTTGTTGTTATTATTCAGACAGTGTCTTGGGTGGCTTCGAACCCAGTGGGTAGCCAAAGGTGACCTTGAACTTCTGATCTTCCTGCCGTAGCAGGCTTTCTTGGGCCGCCAGCCCCCAGATGATGACACGGAGACTTCATGTTAGTTATGGACACTCAGCTCACATCACTTAATTTAACCTGTTTCTCTTCTTCTGTGTTTTACCTGGGGGCTTCTTATGTTTCTTCCATTCTGCATGTCCTGGTTTCCCTGCTTCTTCTGGGTCTGTCTGGAGACTGCCTGGCTGGTCCTCGGCGTCTCCGGTTCTTTCTCCCCCTTTTCTCCCTCCTCATTCTCTCCTCTGGAGCCTAGAGCCTGCCTATAACTTAATCTCCCTGCCCACCAGCCCCACCTATCCCTCTACTGCCTAGGGCCTGATTGGCCATTCTGCTTTTTATTAGGCCAATCAGGTGCCTCAGTCAGGCAGAGCGGAGCAGCTTTAGAGAGTTAAACAAATGGGGCGTAAACAAATGTAGCCCCACCTTCACATGGTTCAGGTGCCACGCCCTCTCACGTCCCACGCCCACCATAGTGCAGGCAGGCTTGCTTCTTGGGCGAGCATTTGTACCACTAGTACTCACCACACCTCCGTGCCACCAGAAGATGCGGAGTAATCCGTGGTGAGCCGGTTGACATGGTGTTTTATCGCAAACATAGAGGCAAGAGTAGCTGACACACTCCTAAGACTTCTGATAAATGGGTTACCTCTTCCTTAGGCTGCTGGTCTTTCGTGACGTCTCCTTGACCAGGTGCCCTTCCAGGAACCGGAAGGGCCCCTGGTTTGGGTGTTTCTCCCCTGAACACCCGCCACTCTTCTTCTGCGGTGTAGCACAAGCGGGTGCCGCTGAGCCTGCTTCTCTGTGTGAATGTTCAGCTGGCTGTGGGGATTGTTCAAGAACCGTAGCCAACAACACCCACGGTTTGTTCTGGCCCCAAGCCTGTGGACTTGAGCCAGCTCCCAAGTGCACGCGAGATCTCTAGGAGGAGCTGCGTGGCTGAATGTGTTGCTCCAGCCGGTCTTACTCCTCAGTGAGTAGGCTCCGGTATCTTGGGATGGTGAGTCCTGCAGGCAGCCCAGACACAACAAATGCGAGGGGGAAGGAACATGTTAGAAGCCGCGTGTTCCAGAACAGGAGGACGCCTACAGTACCACAGTCGCGTCCTTTCTCCTTGCCGATGTGCTTTGGGGATTTGAAAAGTCATCCTTGCTTTGGTGACATTAGACTCCTGTGTTGCCTCGTATTGTCTCTCAGGGAAGCTCTGACTGGAAAAGCAGAGGGTCTCCTGGCCCTTTCTGTCCCTCAGCCCCATACGCCATGTCAAGGAGGAAAAGGGTGACTAAGGTGAAATGCCTCAGGGTCTAGGTGGAGGTGGGAGGTTCCTGGGAAGCTTGGGTCATGCTTTATTGCTTTGTACCCAGGGCCAAGATGATTGACAGAGGCAGGGTGATTCCTGAGTAGCTAAGGGTGAGCCGGCTTTCAGAGCATTCCAGTGTGTAATTTCTTTTATCTCTGTCCCTAGAAGGTCCCTTCAGGCCAGTCTCCAATGCTCCTTTTTCTTAGATTCACTTTGAAGCCTGCCTTAGAGCTCACCTTGAAGCCCAAGCTAGGATACCCAGGCAGCCGAGTGAGTGACAAGGGCCACTGGCTGTGTCTTAACACACTCAAAAAACAAAAAATCATGAGCATCTCTAAAACCTGGGGGAATGGAAAGTCTGTTTTTTGCCCTCCACTGCTACAGGATGTTAGCTCACACAGAGAACTCCCAAGATCGCCTTCTAGAGGACCTGGCTATCGCGACTGAAGACCCAGATTCAGGTGTGGGACAAGACCGCAAGGCCTGTGGCATGCTGTTAGACATAGGTGTCATATCCGTAGACATAGGTGTCATATCCGTCCGCCCGTCCGTCTAGTTAAAAGTTACTGACGAGGTATGGTCCCTAGTAGACACTGTCAGTGCAACGAATTTCAAATCAAAGTGCGTCTCTCTGGGAAGTGTTTTAGATAATAGTAACAGGATGGAACACTCACCCAAACGTGGGCATCTCAGGAGCTGGATCCTTGACTGGGTGAAAAAAGGAAATGGGAGAAGTCATGTGAGCAGCAACATCCGCCCCTCTGTTTCCTGGCTGCCTGTGCCCTGTGACCAGCCGCCTCATGTTCCCGCTTTGTTCGGGGGTTTCCCACCTCGATGAGCGGCATTTGCAGACTGTGAGCTTTTCCTTGAGTCACTTTTGTTGACTATTTCTTCCCGGAACTATTTTATCACAGTTAACCCACCAGGTTGCAAACAAATCTGAGACCCAGCCCTGACAACTCAGGGCAGCCTTGGTATAAGCATAGTGTGTGAGCATCACCTCAGAGAGATGCTGCCTAATGTCTAATCTATTAGCTGATTTTCCAGCTGTCGTGATAAAGTATCTTACAAGAAGCAGGCGAGGCAGGAGGATTATTTTGGCTCACAGCTGGAGAGTTCAGGATGTGTGGCAGGGAGGTGACCCTCAGCAGCAGGAAGGGCAGCTGGCCACCTTGCACCGAAGAATGAATATGTCCAGATAGCTTCCTCCCTTTTATGTAGTCCAATACTCCCAGCAGGCACTGGTGCTGTCATTTTCTAAGGGTGAGTCTTGAGCCCTCAATTAACCTAATCAAGATGATCCTCACAGGCCTGCCCAGAGGCTAACTTAATTTAAATAATCCCTCATTGACTGACATTCATGGAAGCTTGTCTCCTAGGTGATTCCAGATTTGTCAGGTTGACAATACTAACCATCAAACCTGTGAAAACAGGTTTCAAATTTCAGGGGGGGGGTGAAGGATTTCCCACGAATTCTGTCACCAATGCTCATTGCAACAGAACTGTGATTCTGAGGTTGATATTTGACCTTTCCAAACAAGATGCCTTTGGTTCTTATGCAAGTTAGGTACTGAAAGCCCATTATCATAGTGAATGAGGCCCACAGAGGCCTTCAAGCCCCAAGCAGGCCCTTCTCTCTGGCGGAACCCAGTCCCTGTCAACTCTGCTCCCTGCCTCTCTGGTCCTCTCAGTAAAACACAAATGTAATCGTCAGTCTGCTGCCCAGCCCAGGCTAACTTTTTACGGCTATCTCCCTGCACCTCAGATGGATTCCTCCAGTGTTAAAAGCCCCTCTCCTTCATGGCCACACCTGTGATGTCCTGTTGCCACCTGGAAGAGCAGCACGGTCACAGTGAGGCAATGTCCTGTGCATGCATCAGAGATTAGATGCCAGCCCTGGGGCAGGGGACCATGATGACCACATGACGTCTGCTCTCCAGCCAGCTCACTGAAAGGAGCCTGGTAATGAGTTCTGGCTTCACCATGGGTTAAAAATTCCCCCTCCCCAAAGGAGATGGAGAAAGAGCTGGGCGTTCGTAGTAGGAGATCACACTTTGAAAGGAAACCTGCCTTCCGCCACCACCACCCCACCCCCCCTTCAGTTTTCCATGCAGTTTGCTGCAGCTGGAGCACATCCCCTTTGAGGCAGGTGGCAGCTGGGCTTCCTCGGGGCATGCAAATTCCAAGACCGGACCCAAGGTAGCTCAACCTGCTAGGACTCACATACTGCCTTAAAAGAAAAATACAGACATCCGTACAGCCCGACAGCACTGAGCTGGCTTGCACATCTCTTCCCCCTTTGTCTTTCTGGTGTCCTTTCTCTCATCCCAAGCTAAAATGGGATTGCTTGTGGGCTCCCAAGTCACCTCCGTGTCACACGAAGGTCCCTCTATGGTCCTCCAACCTTCAGCTTAAGTGACTGTTGTTCCTCAACATCTGTGTAGGTGTGGCCAGTCTCCAGCCCCGCCCCCCACCCAGAGCCAGCAACACACCCCAGTACAAAATCATAAACTCACTCAAATCATTATGGGATTATTTGGCAATTTGTTTTTAGTTACTTGACTCCGTGGTTCTCAAGGCTGAACTTCATATATATGATGGCGTGTCCTCGGTGTCAAGAGGTTGGTTGGACAAGCCTGCAGAAGTCTTTGAAGCCTCCCCCTCGCCTATTCTCCAAACACACACACACCTACCTGCACAACACACACACACACACACACACACACACATATGTATGCATGCACTCACATTGTGTTCACCCACACATGCAGACCCACATATATGTATATACATTCATGTAGATATGCATACCCACATATGCTCATAATACATGGACACATAGAGAGTTTACTACCCACTCCTGTATGACAACAGGGTGTTCCATGCTCATATCTGCTGCTGCCCACGCCTCTCCTTTCCTACATGGGGATTTTCCTGGTGGTAAAGCCACTTCCGTGACATCATAGATTCAGAAAGGACCCAACTCGACATCGGGAAGTATATGGCCTGCCCCAGATTTGTAGCGCCTGGTGTCCGGCATGCCCCGAGTTCTTCTGAAAAAATTATATATAGAGCTACCACGCCTAGCCCTATCAGGGATTCTTTTGGTTCTGAACATATTCAGAAAACAAAAAGAAACATGCCCGGGTAATTAGTGAACCTCCCGATTGTGGGCTGGCATCTGTCAGCTGATTTCCGGGTACCTGGTGTTCTTTTTCCTGTGAGGAATGTAGCCGGACCTCTGAAGTCAGCAACGGGGACTTCTTATCAAATTACGTCCTTTCCGTTTCGGCACACAATGGCGAACGGCTCCACAGCCACTCTTCTTTAAAGGCACCCAAGGCATTTAACTGGGCTGCTGTAACCCACAGGGCACCAGCCCCCCCCCGCCCTGTCCGCCGTCCACCGTCCATCCATCCAGGGAAGGTTTGTTTCAAGGCCCTCGTGGATGTGTGAACCCTGTGTCATGTTTACATTCTGAAGTGCGACAACAAAACTAGCCTAGAGTTGGTTCCTTTGTCTGTTTATATTCCTGCTCAGTTTCACTGGGAGAGGGTTCGGTCTTACTAGGGATCGTGGCAACCCCAGGAAGTGGGTTGCTTTGCTTTCTATGTTAGGAACTTCCACTTTTTAATGTGAAGACAGACTCTAGCCTTCCCCTCTCCCCCTCCTCTCTGTCTCCCTCAATTCCTTTCGCATATCCGAGTCACCGACCTATGCTGTCCTTGCATCCCGGGGTCACTAAGAGTCCCCCAAACACTGCCCCAGTGGTTTGATAGCACCTCGATCTGATAACCAAGACAGCCGTTAAAGGACAAACAGGTAAGCAGTATACACAATGCAGATGGTCTCCAAGAGGGGATGTCCTAGTCTAGGGTGAGATGGAGGGCCAATGCCACAAATTTTAATTATGTTGCTCAGAGTGGCACACGGCTTAACACTTATGGATTACTTATTTATGGAATTTTCATTTAACATTTCGGACCCCAGCTGACCTTAGCTGATGGAAACCTTCGGAGCAAACCCACAGGTAATGGAAGGCAGCTATATCATGCCGAGGATCTCTGGCATCATGGGAAATGTCTTATTCAGCAGTTTCCCAACCCACTCTGCTGACAACCCCCGGGCCCGGCAAACACTCACCACATGGTCTGACCTCTTCTCCATCTGTGTGTACAAAGCCATCAGCATGCCAGTTTCCTCCTGCATCCCAGAGAAAACGCCATGCAGAGGCGGAGTGACAGTATCTCTTCCAGAAGGTTCTAGAGGTCGTCATTAGTGAAACCAGGGTGCTGAAGCTCAACCCGGTGTCCCCTGAACTGGTTCTGCTCTTTCATGACTGCCAGGGTCTCTTCCTGCATTTCTACGCTTGTTGTTATTGTTAGATGCACAGGTGTTTATATTTGTTATATCCTCCGGGTGGATCAGTCCCTTCATTATGAAAATGTCCCTCTCTACCACCCCTCAACCTTCCTCTGCTGCATTCTGTTTCGTCTGTTTATTCCCAGCTCTCCAGGAGCTTCTGTGTACATGCTGACTCTCCTCATCCCCTTACTTTAGGGTGTCTGCAGGTCTAAAGTGTGTCTTCTGCATGCAGCGTGATCATGGTTTTTAATCAACTCCAAACAATCTCTGCCGCTTGATTGGATGGCT